GTCCCTTGGTTTGAGGGTGTCTTACTGAAGTGAAGTGCTGCTGAATCTCGAGTTCCCTACACCAATCACGGAAAGGATTTTAGGCGAGCTATCAACCATTGTCCGAAACTAGAACTCGGGGTATACCGAACCTGCACACTATATTTTTCCAGAAGAACTTTTGCACTGACCTCCCACTTATGGTATTAAGAGGTTCAGCTTCCATCCACTTGGTGAAGTAGTCTATGGCTACTACCAAGTGTTCATATCCTCCCGAAACTCGAGGAAATGGACCGAGTATGTCGACTCTCTATTGGACAAATGGCCATGGACTTTGTAGAGGAATCATCTCCTGTGTTGGGACATTATGAGCTGGCGCATGGAGTTGGCAAGCTCAGCATTTCTTCGCTAGTTCGGCTGAGTCTCGGAAGATGGTTGGCCAATAATAACCCATTATCATTCTTTTCTTCGCCAAGTCCCTTGAACGCACGTGGCCAATAATGCCCTCATGCATTTCGTGCAGGATATGCTTTCCTTCCTCAGATGTTATACACTTCAACCATGGACTTAAGTATGACTTTCTATACAGCACTTGGTTTCGCTAGCACATACCTTTGCGATTTAAGCAGGAGTTTTCAGACCTCTCTCCTGTCCAGAGGGAGTTCTCCCTAGGACAAGTACTTCGCGATGGAATCCATTCACGAGTTTATCACTTCGATTACAGCTGACTCCATCTGTTCGTAAGCTTTCTTCTTTATAATCTCTACCAAGACTTCCTTACTCAACGGCCCGAATGAGGTAGAGGCCAGTTTGGATACGGTGTCCGCCATTTTTTTTTAACACCTCAGGATTTGTTCGATATTGAATTGACCGAACAGGCCTTTCAGCTCGCGCGCTCTGCTCGCATCTCGTCCTTGACCTCATATTTTTCCAAGATTTGGTTCACTACCAATTGCGAATCGCTATAAACTTTTAACGACTCGGCCCCCATCTTTCGGATTACCTCCATCCCTATGATCAAGGTTTCGTACTCGAATTCGTTATTAGATGCTTTAAAGTCAAATCTCAAGTCATAGACCAGTTCTTCTCGTGTGGGGCTGATGAGGAGCAATCCAGCTCCGCACCCCTCTCTGCCAGACGCTCCATCGACATATAACGTCCACGCCTTAGACTGTTCAAGCTCCTGTCCCCCTATCCTGCCTTTGCATACTCCAAAGGAGACTCCTTCTGTAATGAAATCGGCCAGTGCTTGAGGTTTAATGCCAGTTCGGGGTTAGAACCTGAGCTCATGCTCAGACAACTCAACAGCCCACTTGACCATCCGTCCGATGTGTCCGATTCGACAAAATCTTCTTCAATGGTTGGTCAGTCACGACCACTATAGGATGAGACTGAAAGTATGACCTGAGTTTTCGGGCTGCGTGGACGAGCGTCAAGACGTACCTCTGTATAGGCGAGTATTGGGTTTCCGCCCCTTGTAAGACTCTGCTTACATAGTACATTGGTTTTTGAATTTTATCTTCTTCTCTAATTAATACTGCAATAATTGCCTCTTCTCCTATAACCGAATACATTAATAGAGTTTCACCCTGTTTGGGAGAAGTCAGTGTGGGCAGTTCGGCAATATGTGTTTTCAGTTCCTCAAATGCCTTTTGACATTTTGTTGTCCACTCGAATTTTGACCCCTTCTTCAGGATCTTGAAGTAAGGAGATTCCCAAACAGCCGACTGTGATAGGAATTTGCTCAGGGTGACTATCCTACCGGTCAGTCTTTACACTTCTTTGATACTTTTTGGGGGTGTCATATCCATAATAACTTTACCTTGTCAAAATTAGCTTTAATTCCATCTTTGGGCATCATGTACCCTAGAACTTTCCCAACCTGACGCCAAACGTGCATTTCTTGGGGTTCAACCTCACCTGCAATATCCGGACTATATCAAAAATTTCACTAAAGTCTAAAATGAACTGACCCTGAGTTTTACTTTTGATTAGCGTATCATCTACGTAGACCTCTAAGTTGCGGCCTATTTGATCTTTGAACAGCTTGTTGACCAACCTCTGGTACATTGCTCCTGCATTCTTCAACCCAAAAGGCATAGTGACATAACAGTACATTCCATATTCAGTTAGTAATGAAGTTTTTTCCTGGTCTTCCTCGGCCATGACTATCTGGTGGTACCCCTTGAAGGCGTCTAAGAAGCAGAAGATTTCATATCCCATAGTTGAATCTACGAGCAGGTCTATTCGGGGCAAAGGGTAGCAATCCTTTGAGCAAGTCCTGTTTAGTTCGGTAAAGTCTACACACATTCTCCAAACTTTATCATCCTTCTTTACCAACACAGGATCGACCAACCAGGTCGAGTAGTAGACCTCCTTCATGATTTTAGCTTCCAAAAGCTTGGCTATCTCTTGTTTAACGACCTCATTTTGTTCAGAAGCAAAACTCCTTTTCTTTTGCTTTACTGGCCGGATGTTAGGATCCACATGCAATTTATGAACAGCCAGTTCGGCTGGGATTCCAGGCATGTCCTCCACACTCCATGCGAAAATTTTCACATACTCTATTAATAGGGATTCCAGCGCCTTCCTGTTCAGCTCGCTTAAGCGCGAGCCGACCCTTATTACCCGATCTGGGCGCTCTTGGCTAATTGGAATTTCGAGCAACTCTTTATCTGTCTCAAGCTTTTCGCTCCTCTTCGCTGGCTCTAAAGGTTATAAACAAGCGATTTGGGCTACCAACTTTTTCTTTCCCTTCAGAGTTGGAATGTAACAAACCCGAGCCACTTCCGAATCCCTTGCACCTCAACCATTCCCTCCGACGTAGGGAATTTCAAACTCAGGTGTAAGGTGGAACAGACAACTCGGAGGACATTCAGGTAGGCCGTCCTAAGATCATATTGTATGATGACAACTCCTTTACCACGGCAAAATTGACCGAGACAGTTCAACATTTTAACAATGTGCCCACCGTAACTATGAGCGTTTTCATCCCCTCGGGTTTGATCGATGGCCCTGCAAATCCAACAAGAGGAATTCGGGCCGGAATGAGTTGCTTATCCGCTAACTACAACTCTTTGAATGTCTTATAGTACAATACATCAATGGCGCTCCCATTGTCTATATACACCTTCTTTACTTTGTAATTGCACGTTACTACCTCTATAACGATAGACTCATGGTTATTAGATGCTAGAGGAATCACGTCTTTGGATCCGTACACTATCTTCTCATATATTTTTAACTGTTTACTCAGGTTGTCCCCACTAGGAGAGGGCAATTGTTTCGCCGAGTTATATGACTATCCCCATTAACGGGTCCCCCAACTATGGTGTTGATCACTTCAACCAGATTCTGCACCTCCGGTTCCGGAGTTCGGTCTTTGTTTCTCTGGAACCGGTCTCATGAATGTCTTATCCTCCCGCTTGTACTCCCTTCTCCTCTATTTTTCTTCTTCACTCTTTGGACGATTAGCTTCTTCGGCGTTGGCCCTTTCATGAGCTCGATCTAGCATTTCCCAAACTGACTTAGTATGCTTTTCCACAAATTCTGTATACAACTTTTGTAAGTGCAGCCCATTAATAAAGGTTGTCATGACTACCTTGTCATCTCGATCGCGGATTTGAAGGGACTCATTAAATTGTACCATGTACTCCGGTAAGGACTCCTCCGGTTTTTGCCAAACTGCCATCAGATGAGTAGTGTTCTTAGAGAAGGCTCGGGATGAGACGAACTGAGCTGCGAACAGGCGAGCGAGTTGCCCGAAAGATTGTATGGATCTGGGAGACAACCTTTGGAACCATTGGCATGCCCTTCCCTCAAGAAACATGGGAAAGGTTTTGCATCGAACGGCATCCATAGCAGTCTGCAACCAGATATGAGTTAAGAACGCAAACAAATGATTTTCTGGATCTGTGGTGGCATCATAAGATTTCATGCTTGGTATCTTGAACCTAGGCGGTAGGGGGTAGTTCTCAATATCCGATATGAAAAGAGAGAAAGAGTATTTGTCCTCTTCCGGATCCAATAGTATGTCCAGTTCATCCCGTATTAGGTATTCTTCACGCTTTGGAGAATACTCGTTCCCCCAAAAAGACCCAAAGTGGTCTGTTCGGGAGTTCTTATGGGGAGGTTCGAAAGCTTCCATCTGATCCTGTGAAGGTTCTTTTCGTACCCGTTTTCGCTGGGGGTGCGGACTTCCTGTTTCCGACTCCGACGATTCTTCTTTGTCCTTCTTCTGGGCTTCAGGACCTGGGTCACAACGATCTCCCCTTTACAGCTCAGGTAGTTCACGATTGCTTCGAAGGTGGGCAGATTTTCGCCACTGCTTGCACCAACTGTTCAGGTGGGATTCGAGAGAGCTCCGTCCCCTCCTCAACTTGGATTGGACCATGGTGAGGATTTTGCGGATCGCTCTGCTCGTTCCCCCAGGGCTTCTCAGTGTTCTTCTGAGATCAAGTCTTCGTCATGGTTTGCAAGGAAAAACAAACTTTCCCATAGACGGCGCCAATTGATGAGTATGCTAAGATCACGATCTGAATAGAGCTTCCATGTATGCTCCCGAACTGACCTGCAATGGATGAACAGGGAGACTAGCTCCCCGTTGTGACTCAGACGCTCAAATCAGTTGAGAAGTAAGAGAAAGTAATTGTATTGTATGGTGCTATATGTGTATGTGTGCGTACCTTTCCTGGTCCCTCCATTCCTTATTTATAAAGTCCTGTGGGATGGTCCGAAAAGAGTCATAAGTCATCCCGCTACCTTTGGTGGCTATCCCAAATATGAGTCTTACTAAGTCACGGGAATTGGAGTCCCATTTGAATTTTACCTTTGGCCTTACCCAATGGGTCTGGGGTCCTCCCCCTGTTCGAACTCTTGGAGGCCGGTGGCTGAGGTCCGAATTGGTAGGTCTGCACTGCCGAGCAGGCTGGCCGAACTGACACGTGTCGTTGGGAGAGTTGACCCCTCTACAGGTACAAAATAGTTTCCCTTTTCAGTTTCTGGGCTCTTGTGATGGTTTAATGTTGTCAATCCTCAACAATAAAAGTCTTTACTTGTGGAATCCTAGTACTATACTACTAAAGAAGTTGCCTGAAATTGGTTTCTGGGAAGATAGCTATGTGTTTTATGGATTTGGCTATGATCAATCCTATGATGATTATAAGGTTTTAAGAGGTGTTTGTTGTGATGAATATTGGTTTAATGAAGAGAATTTCATATATTCGCATAGCATAAAGAGAAAGGGGGTAAGAGTTTATAGTAAAAGAAGTAATTCTTGGAAAAGAATTGGAAATTGTCCTTATAATGAGGTTTTGCAAGTGGATGGAGCTTATGTTGATGGATTTTTCTATTGGCTAGTGCTTGAGAAAAGGGGTAAGGATCAAATGTTATGTAGAAGGATTGGATGCTTTGATTTAGGAGATGAAAAATTCAAGAATTTGGAACTACCTAAGTTTACTGGGCATATGCTACATGTTGGGGTTTTAGAAAGGTTTCTTTGTTTGGTTTGTAATCACTATGAATCTGGCCCTGGAGCATGGACAATATGGGTGATGAAAGAGCATGGTATCATAAGTTCCTGGGCTATAGTGGCCAACATTCCAATTCTATTCAGAACTCCTTTTGTGGTTCCATTGTCCATTAACAAACATGGAGAAGTTGTGTTGCAAATGGGTCACAAGAAAGTTGTCAAGTTTAATTCCAGGAAGAATAAGTTTGACGTTCTTGTGCACAAGAATTTTGAGATCGAAACAGCTCTGTATACTGAGAGCAATCTGTCACCCTGCACTAATCCCAAAAGAAAGGCAACCACCGAGGCCAGAGAGATACTCAAGAGAGTGGAGTTGTAAACTCGATGGTACTTCCAGTGTTATATCTCTTCTTCTATGCCTTCCTTGTGTTAATTACTGTACTGCCTCCTTTTTTAAGTCTTGATCTTCAAATTACTTTTGCTGGTGTATAAACTCAACAACGAATGATACATGATGCACTTGTCTTGCTTATTACTTTGGCTTAAGATGAATTCATTTGTTAAAGCTATGGAAGCTTTCAATGTCTACTGATATTTTCTAAAGATATCCAACTTTTTTATTGACTAAGATGAGGGGAGAACGGAAAAACAGGAGGAATTATTGGTCAAAATGAAACTATTGGTCTAATAGAAGGGGGAAAAAAAACCTTAAACTGTGGGAGTATGAGCTAATCTAGAACACAAACATGTTAATTAACCTCTCAACAGCTCAAGAGTTAGCGTAGCTACATTAACTTTCTATCAATTTTGCACCTGACATAGTGCTAGCTTTGAATCAATTGCACTCTATGACTGTCACAAAATGAACACCTTCTTGTCCACTTGCATTCTTAGGAATTGAAGCTCTCCAACTATATGCTTCCTAATTATTAGGTTTGTGGCTGGACTCACTACTTCTATTTTGTACTCAATTTCCATGTCTAAAGCTTTTATTTGATTTGCATTAACATCAATCTACATGGCACATATCAACAACTCATATTTTATTGTCTTCTAATTATTTTAAAATCCTTGAATTAAGTAAAACCCAAATTTGTTCCTTTATTTTGGGGATAATTTCAGATACCTCCCTCAAGGTTTTTGACAGTTTCATTTAAATATTCTCTAAAATTAAAAATTACACATACCTCCCCCCTATGATAGATATGACAACATGTTAGCACCAAAAGCCTCATAATGACCAACATTTCCTCAAAATGTTGCAGCTAATAATATTGCAAAAATGTGAGAAAAAATTGCCTACAACACTAATATTTTTTTATGTGCTTCTTGGCGCAAGCATCTACAAAAGCAAAATTGATTTTGTTATTTCTCAACTATTATCTTGAGAAGCAAAATTGATTTCCTCAATTTGCCATAGAGAGGAATAATGCTAAGAGTTTTAAATAGGATGCATTTTTTATACTTTATCTAGGTTATATGATGCCAAGATAGAGCTGTTGCAAATTGTCCACTTTTTCTTGCTTCTAACGGTCATAAGTGCAGAATTGTATATGCACTCTTTGTTGTACTGAGAGGATCCTTACTACTTTCACATCTTTTTTCTCTTTTTTAATTAATTTTTATAAACAAAGTGGCAAATGTTTCGTTCAGAATATAAAGAGAGTAAAGTTGGCAAAAATTCATGTGTCTATACCTTTTCCCACTTTTTTGACTTTCCTTTAAAGGCAAAGGCTACAATATTTATCAAATGTGTCCATCAAAAGGAGATGAGTGTAATTTTAATTTTAGAGGGTATTTAACTGCAATTGTCTGAAACCTCGAGGAAGGTATACGAAATTATCCCTTTATTTTGCTAGCAAACACTAAATAAGAAAATTTGCAATTTGATAAATCAATGAACTATTTTATAAACATATGGTAAACAGTAATTTAATTTCAATTGACTTTTTACATATTACGATGCAACTATTCATTCTCAAACTCAACAGTTTTTATTTTTATCACCTTTTCTCAATTGTTTCAGAAAATAAGAAAAAAAATAGAAACAAGCAATCATAATGTTTTTATGAAAATAAAATAATAAAAAAGATAGACAAGAGCTCACATTTAAGACTTTTTTTTTGTTTTGGTTTAAGAATTGTACATAAGGTAGCTGCTGGCCTTGACAAGATGAAGTTTCTGTTTTGAAGTGCACTACAGGCTCCCCGTCTAGGTACTCGACCTCTAGTAGTGATGGAGCCAGAAATTTTTTTTTTCTAGGGGATCAAAATTTTTTCTAACAAAATTATCTTGATATGTTATGTTCAAAATAATTTTCATCTATTTAAATATATTACATCTAAAAACATCAAATATTAACATTAATTATAAAGATATGTTTATTTTGTAAATATACAGCATAGTCATAATGATTAAGACAAGTAATAACCTTTGATTAAATATTTTATAACATCATAAACCATCCAAGTTGCACATTATGAGAAGATATTCCAATATGTCATCTATACAATATATATATATATATATATATATATATATATATAACTATGTAGTGTAAAAATAACTATTTTCAATTAAAAAAAGATTAAAGTTATGTTAACATACCTTGAAATTCCAACCTCTTTTCTTAAAAGTAAAATGGTTTTACGTTCTTTCATAGAACTAAATTCATTTATTATTAAATCAATGCTAAATTTTTCGGCAACTTCCTTTTCTATGTATACAGTTAGGCAATCATTTAAGAAATTATCTTTGAGCTTATTTCGGAGTTTTGTCTTGATTATCTTCATAATTTAAAATGTCTGTTTTATAGTTGCAGTTGATACAGGAAGAGAAGTGAGAACAACTCTAATCAATTGGATTAAATTGTATATTTGTATATGGGCCAATAAAGTAATTATTTTTGTTTTAACCCATTAATAATTATGTATTGGGTCTTTTTATTATAATATATTAAATTGGGTCAATTTACTATGGATCATCAAATTATATGTTTAGGTTTTTGAAATTTCATAATATAAATTAACATTGAAAAAATTAAGGGAAGCCAACTTTGTTTTACATATATATTTATATACTATAAATTAAAATTTTCAAAATTTAGGGCATGGCCCCCTCAGCCCCCTTGGCTCCATCATTGACCTGTAGAGTTACTTTATAACTCCCACCCCAAGCATGGAACTAGTATTCGCTTCGCTTGTGACATGTAAATTCGTGGAGGAATTGATGTATTATTTGAGATGTGCCTTGTACGTTATTTGAGCATGGTAGTGAGTGAGTGAGTCTCGACGAGAGTTGGGCAGGTGGTTTGCCGAACCCTTTGGTTCGCCTTAGGGGACGTCTACACGGACTCTATAACTCTTTTTGCCATCAGAACTTCACTTTCTTGCAAATACAATCATTTGAAAGCTGGCATTTCTTAAAGGCGAACTCCACTCCTACGAGCTCACGTTACGTGAATTCTTGAGAGCTGGTATTATCAAAATGCAAAGATCCTATAAAAGAAACAACTAGTAGTATGATTTTAAAATTCGTAACAAAGTTGGGAGGATAAAATTCCTCCATTTTGTAAATTTTGAAATGCTAAGATGGATCCATTCTATTATGCTAACGGAGATGTATTATACTAACGGAAGTGTAATTTTTGGGAGGATAAAATTCTTACCAATTATTGTTTTTAGGTGTGAAGAAAGGTTTTGCAACTTAGATGTCTTGCTCAACCTTTGAGTATAGTCAATACTTCTTTTTGGTATGATTCTTAGCATTCTTTGGGTCCCTTGTACAAAAAATATAAATATCCCGTCTCTCTACTCAAAAGTTTTGGTATGATTCTTAGCATTTTCTGTAGTGTATTCAACTAATACAAGATAGGTATGGAAAGGTAAAGAATATGGCAAAAAAGTAGACACGTTGTAAAGCTGGCATGTACGGAGGATGAAGGGAATAATTATAAAAAAGCAAGTGTTACCTATAACAGGTGCAGGCGGTTTAGAAATGTTCATGGGCCCATCGACCGTGAGGCGTACTGCGAAAGCTGAAAATGTATTGAGGTGTCACGGAATTCACATAAGTATAATAGGCCTAGGAATAAAACACTGAAGAGGAAGCGTAAGCAGTACTAAACACAGCCATGCAGGTGGTATTTAACATAAACTGATTTTTGTGAAAGTAAAAAACATATTTCCTATAACATACCTGTTCTTTATGATATTTTGACATTACATCAACAAAATACTAGCTATTTATGGGCATTTTATTCTGAATCATTACATTTATGTAAAATACATAAATGTTTGTAACTAAAATTGAAAAAGTGTTACACTAATATTTTTATAAAAGGGAAACTAGTAGATTTTGTATTTAACAAATTTTACATATGTGAAAGTAAAAAAGATATTACCCATAACATACCAGCTCTTTATGGGTTTTTTACATTACATCAACAAAATACTAGCTATTTATCGGCATTTTACTCTGAATCATTACATTTATGTAAAATACATAAATGTTTGTAACTAAAATTGAAAAAGTGTTACACTTATATTTTTACGAAAGGAAAACTGGTAGATTTTGTATTTAACAAATTTTAAATATGTGAAAGTAAAAAAGATTGCGCCCATAACATACCAGCTCTTTATGAGTTTTTTGCATTACATCAACAAAATACTAGCTATTTAAGAGCATTTTACTCTTTATCATTACATTTATGTAAAATATGTAAATGTTTATAACTAAAATTGAATAACTGTTACACTTATATTTTTACGAAAGGGAACTTGGTAGATTTTGTATTTAACAAATTTTAAATATGTGAAAGTAAAAAAGATTGTGCCCATAACATACCAGCTGTTTATGAGTTTTTTGCATTACATCAACAAACTACTAGCTATTTTTGGGCATTTTACTCTGAATCATTACATTTATGTAAAATACATAAATGTTTGTAACTAAAATTGAAAAATTGTTACACTTATATTTTTATGAAAGGAAAACTAGTAGATTTTGTATTTAATATAAATTAAATATGTTAAAGCAACATTACAGGTGGTTTTATTAGTTACTTAATTTGTTGACAAGAAACAATGTTTCTTTTGCAAAATTTGTTCATTAGATTTTTTCAAATAATTAGGGTATAAAGGTAAATTTTCACAATCTTTTGTTAGCAATAGGCCCCAATTTCCTCCTAAGCAGTGACGAAACCAAGATTTTTTCCTTGGGGGGTGCCAAAATTATTTTCATATGTTATGTTCAAAATAATTTTATTCTATTTAAATATATGGCATCCTAAAATATCAAATATTAAGACTTGAAATCAGCTGTGGGAAGGCTCCGATAAGAACCTTAATGGAGAAAATGATGGTTGGAAAATTCTTCATT